TTGTACCTGATGATCGTTGTCTGCGCGGTGTCCAGCCTGCTGGTGCTCAGGTTGCTGCCGCGCACGCGCTGCGGTGCTTGGCGCCGCCCACCGAGGGCTTGTGCGCGCGGGCAAGCCCAGGCAGGTGTGGTCCAGCGCAGTGGGAACTGGTCTTATTCGCAGCAGAGGAGGCAGATCTTGTGCTCTGGAGAGACGCCGCCGAAGGTCCTCCTGGCTTTTAGTTGCAGTGTTTCCCATTTTTCGGGCTTTGGAGATGGATTTCAACAGGAAAATTTTGAGAATGTAAGTACTGTAATCCTGGAAAGTATTTCGTTCCTATTTATGTCCCTCAAGGTAACGTTGGTAATGTTCACCAAATTATTGCTTAATTTGATTGCTTTATTTATTTTGTTTTGCTTTTCTTTTGAGATGGTTTATTTAAAGTACATTGGGGCAGGGCGGGGTGGTTCATGCCTATTTGCAATCCCAGCACTTTGGGAGGCCGAGGCGGGCGGATCACTTAAGATCAGGAGTTGGAGACCAGCCTGGCCAACATGGTGAAACCCCATCTCTTCTAAAGATACAAAAAAATTAGTCAGGTGTGTTAATGAGCACCTGTAATCCCAGCTACTGGGGAGGCTGAGGCACAAGAATCGCCAGAACCTGTGAGGCGGAGGTTGCAGTGAGCTAAGATCAGGCCACTGCATTACAGCCTGGGCAACAGAGTGAAACCGTGTCTTAAAGCAAAAAGCATATAAGTCTAGCCATCTTCATCACTTTTTACTACAGTCATCATGAATATTCTTTAGGAATATTCTTCAGTTGGTAAGTATAATGATAATACTAATAATGAAATAGACTGAATAGATGTTTCCTGTAAATGAGAAAGATAAGTCTTACAGGAAGGATTATGATGAATAGTGATCCTTATGAGAAGGTCAGATCTTCTCAATTTCGAAGCAAGTTATTTCTTCCTATTCATTTTCTTACCCTGAGTTGTGTCCTCTACTCATTATGCTTATTTATTCAAAAATACTATGACAATATTTAATTCATAAAATCATAATTATTTGAATTTAAAACATGTTTAAATTTTTATATTTCTACGATCTGTAAATTCATCTTTCACAAATGGTGATGAGCAGGGTTGAGGTAGCTTCATTCACAAATAATTTTGTTTCTTCATGATTGATGGCAGTCTTTTTTGAGATGGTGATTGCAGTGGATGGTGTTTCAGCCTTGACTTTAAAGGTAATTTTACTTCTTAATTTTTGTCTTCAATCTTCTTATAATTTCAATTTAAGGTCATTTTCTTCACAACCTTCAACTACTTCAGAGAGCCAACAATTTTGTTCTTCTTCTTTTTCTTTAATGTCAGTTCTGTTTAATTACCTGTTGAACTAATTTCTGCTGTCCTCCAGTTTAAGTTATTGAGCTCTTCTACTATTTTGGGAAGATTTATTTGAGCACTGGTTATAATCATATTTCTTTCATTTTGATACCTGGCTGTATGAAATTATTTTAGGGTAGGAAAATTCACACTTATTTGGGCTTTGAGTATAGGAGAGTCTTTCCGTACATGAGGAAGTGTGATACCATTGTCTCTGTTCATCAAGCTGCATGGTCTTCAGAATGGCATTCCTGGGCTCAAGGCAGGGTGGCTCAAGCCTGTAATCCCAGCATTTTGGGAGGCCAAGGCAGGAGGATTTCTTGATGCCAGGAGTTTTAGACCAGCCTGGGCAAAATAGTGAGACCCCCCCCTCCATCTCTACCAAAAAAAGGTCATTGTTTTTAATAACTTAAGTATAAGAACCACAAAATATTAATAAAGACACTTCCACTTGACAATTGTGGTATTAATTATACCTTAGAATGTAATATTATATCCTCAATATATTTGATACAAATTATTTTTGCCTCCACATCACATTCATTTAAATTGCTTTCTTTAAAGGATCCCAGAGAATATGTATTTATAGCTATAAAGATGTATATCAAATTATATGGAAAATTATTTTGCTCTTTTTGGCTCTAATTACAAATGAGATCCACTTTAATTCTGTGTAAAGAAATAGTATCTTTACATAAGGGAGGGTAACCATGTTACAGATAGGGTAAAGTTAATATAAATGCTGAAAAGGAATTAGTGGTTATTTTCTAACCAGAAAAATAACTTCTGAGAGAATGATTTCCATGAGGGTAAACATTAAGGAAATCTTCAAGAAAGGGAAAAACCTGTCCTACTTTATGGTGCTGGAATTCTCTTCATCCATAACTATAGAACAAGAGCAAACATTGATCTGTAACTTAGTGATAATAAATCACCATTGTTTAAGTGTTTTATCAATATATTTGTTAGACATCATGTGAGGGACTTAAATACATTATTTCATTTAATCCTTATAATAATTTATAAAATACATATGACTGTTCCAATGTTAAAGATAAAGTAAGAGAAGCTAAGATATTTATCTGTTTTACTCAGTGCCAGGACATGGTGGAGATATTATTCAAATGCATATCTTTCAGACTTCTGATTCATTCTTTTGTTCACTATAATGTAGAACTTTCTCCAGTAAGTCTTTTCTCTGCTCAAACATAGTCTTGGCTAGGAAAATCCAGCACAAGCTGTGTACAAGCGAATCTTCCTTTCTGTTGTGCTTAGAAGAAACTTCATGATTGTCTTCATCATTAATTTTGTATAGTGCGTGATTGAGATAACACTAAGTTTTCTATGTTGTAATTTTTTTCTTATAAGAGTTGATGATCATCATTATCATTTGTTTACTCAATGCCATATTGAGATAGATATTTTGGTTATATAATTGTTAAATAATTAAGAGTTGCCTTATAAGAACTATGTATCTGCTGTTTGGAAGTGATATAAGTAAGAATCATTTAGCATGTGAGAAAAGTCAGAAAAGTGGTTTCCAATATCCTTCCAGAACACCCAAACTAAATACTGCATACCAAAAATTACATCCTTCTTTCTTTGCTGTGAATAGTGTTTGGGATAAGTATAAATGTTGATATTATTATTTCAGGGACTCCGAACATGGCTAAAGGATTCAAGAAATGTTTACAAAATTGCATACTTAAATAACAATTTTAAAGACATAGATTTCCATGAAAATCTTCAAATGTGTGTAGGTCTTTCAGTCTTCTTCAGTTTTATTGTTGGCTGAGAGGCTTGTACCAACTGACAGATGATTTGTGACCAAATAACTGTTTTTACTTGACTAAGTCATGAAACTGCAGAATTAGCATCACTAAGTAAATCTGATAATTTTGGTAATACAGTGGTTGGATAATCTACTTCTAATCCATTGCTTTTGGACAACCTCCTGAGGTTCTGACAATGGCATAAAAATTTATTTATGTGTTTTCAAGAAATCATAGCACTGGGTCTGTTACAGAATATCAGTGGATGACATGCATTAGTGAGACATTAAACTATACACTCTAATACATATATGACTAACAGGACATACAGGCAGATTATATCTCCTGATTGATATAGTAAAAGTCAGACATAAAGTTCCTTAATCTTCAGTTGATTTTACAAATTCAGTTAACAATAAATGTACTGAAATGACTTCTTAGCATTAGCCTATACCCAGGTCTTAGGCTGATCCTCAAAGATGAGTTCAAAGACAGAATAATGTCTTCACTAGGGGCTGGTTGAGATGGTGACATCTGGAATATCACAGCCAAAATGCAAAAGATGGGTCATTAATTCATACACTATATCAAATTCATTTATGAATTGGTGTTTGTTTAGTATCACTTTATATATTCACAAAATACTGTATGATTGGAAATTAATACCTAAATTAACACCTTGTTTTAATTCAAATCTGTGATATCATCATCTTTCCAGAGTAAACCTTCTCATGTTCATTTCCCTACCTTGGAAGACTCTACATTTCGTGTAACATCTTAATCCCCAATTGTCATAATGAAGTGGTTGAAGATCTATTGTTTCTTTTTGTTCAAGATAAACCTGATATGTTTCAAATAGCTTGTTGAATATACTGTCATCTGGTCTAATGTTATATTTTAATTAGAGGTTATTATAATTGATTATTTTACAGTTGTATAATGGAATTAACTATCATAAAAGTTGACATGTCTCCTTTAATTTTTTAATATAGAATTTTACATTTATCTTAATAAGAGTTCTAGTGTTATGACAGCATTGGGAAAAGAGTAAATTTGAAAAAAGCAGAACAAAATCTCAAATTAATAGTTGAATATGTATAAAATATTAGCATACACATGTGATAATTTTTTCATATGCCATTGTAGTATTTTTATATTGGAGATAAACCATCAAAACTATACAACAAAATATTCAAGCTAGAATGATACTTATTCTAAATCACTTTCTACTCTAAAATTTTGTTGCATCTACTTTTTTCCCTCCTAAATCCTAAAGATATATGAAAAGACAAAGAAAATTTAAGCAAATTACAACTTAAGCAATGAAAACTCTCATAAGCAATTCCTGTATTTTACGTAGTATTTTGTGAAATTCCATTTCCACAAACACTAAGGTAATTTACCATTTAGTTGAATTCGTTTAATTCTCTGCATTTTAAGCACAATATCAGGCACTTAGAGGAGTTATAATTAAAAATCATGTCCCTTGTTTTTCATGAACTTATGATCTCAAACCCAAAATTCTTTCAGCAAGAAACAAACTATTTTCATGAATATAACTAAATTAAATTAAGGAACCATTGTTGGTGACTTGGAAATGTCAATGTGGCACAGAGATGTTCACAGTGATTTTATATACTCTATTGAATGATAATAAAATTTATTTTGTAGTTGAAAAGCCTATTTCTGTCATATCATTGACTCCATTAAATAAAATACCCAATTTTGATACCTCATGTTATGCTACTATGACTTACATTAGAAATAACCTGTGTCAAATAGAAATTCTAGATGAATAGATTTTTCCTTTGTGGATTTTTTTTAAAAAACTAACAAGTTTGAGAATATATTTGTTTTTCTTATAGTCAGAAAACAATTAAATGTAAATAACAGTAAAGACCAGAACTATAGAAAATAAATATGAAAAAGCACAGAGATGAGAATAGAGCATGTGGAACATAAAGACTAAAGAGCTCCTTTTATAAAACTTCAGATTTTTCTTTGAGTTTCCTAGCAGCCAAAGTAACAAGGGAGACTGAAAGTAAAACAATTCAAATTTGATAATATTTTTAAATGAGGAACAACACTTTCAGGAAATGTTTAGCCCTAGTTTATCAGGAGGCCACCTTAACAACTGAATTTTCTCTCTCTCTCTCTCTCTCTCTCTCTCTCTCTCTCTTTCTCTGTATATGTATTTTAGATAAGTAAAAGAATAATTTTATAATGCTAGGTCAAACATACACACAATTTAAATTTGATGTTAATAAATAAAATGCCTTTTCTATATATATTTTGTTTCACTATGACTTATAATCTGAATATTCCACAAACAAACACTTTGGAAATATTTAGGGGAAAAAACCAAAAACATGAAATTCTATGGTGGTAGTGCACAGTACTCACAATTTTAGGCGCAAGGTGTCGCTCTTTCCTTGGTGGAAAGTTCATGCAAAGGTTGATCTGAACAGTCAGGCACTCCCATACAAAGGGACTCCATCATACCGGATGCCACCGTTAAAGGATTCTTTGAAACTTCTCAAGAATTCAGAGAGATTCTTAACCTGAAACTGAAGAATCTGGCACTGTAAGTGTAAAGAAGTTTATTTTGGAAGCCAATTTCGTATGCAATGTTTGGTTTTCAGAGAAGGGAATTGGGTACCCCACGACTGCTGCTCTGGCTTCTCCTACTCGAATTCTGGGAGGTGGGGAGCGGTCAGCTCCACTACACTGTACCAGAGGAGGCCAAACACGGCACTTTCGTGGGCCGCATCGCGCAGGACCTGGGGCTGGAGCTGGCGGAGCTGGTGCCGCGCCTGTTCCGGGTGGCGTCCAAGACACATGGGGACCTTCTGGAGGTAAATCTGCAGAATGGCATTTTGTTTGTGAATTCTCGGATCGATCGGGAGGACCTGTGCGGGCAGAGCGCGAAGTGCAGCATCCACCTGGAGGTGATCGTGGACAGGCCACTGCAGGTTTTCCATGTGGATGTAGAGGTGAAGGACATTAACGACAACCCGCCGGTGTTCTCTCTCAAAGAACAAAGGCTGCGGATTGCGGAATCTAAGCAACCGGACTCGCGTTTTCCACTAGAGGGAGCTTCTGATGCTGATATTGAAGAGAACGCGCTATTGACCTACAGGCTAAGTCAAAATGAGTATTTTTCTTTAGACTCATCAACAAATAGTAAGCAGATTAAAAGACTGTCACTTATTTTAAAGAAGTCTCTAGATAGAGAGAAAACTCCGGAACTTAATTTGCTACTAACGGCTACAGACGGGGGGAAACCGGAGCTTACTGGCATTGTTCAGCTGTTAGTCCAAGTCTTGGACGTTAACGACAATGATCCAGAGTTTGATCAATCAGAATACAAGGTGAGTCTTATGGAAAACGCTGCTAAAGAGACTCTCGTGATAAAATTAAACGCCACAGACCGAGACGAAGGCGTCAACGGAGAGGTAACATACTCCTTAATGTCAGTTAAGCCCAACGGAAGACCCTTATTTACACTAGATCAAAATAATGGAGAAGTGAGGGTCAATGGAATTTTAGATTACGAAGAAAACAAATTTTATAAAATTGAAGTACAGGCTATCGATAAGGGGACTCCCCCAATGGCAGGTCACTGTACAGTCTGGGTAGAAATCTTAGACACCAACGATAACTTTCCTGAAGTCACTGTGACTTCCTTGTCCCTCCCAATACGAGAGGACACTCAGCCCAGCACGGTCATTGCCCTGATCAGCGTGTCTGACCGTGACTCAGGTGTCAACGGACAGGTGACCTGCTCGCTGACGCCCCAGGTCCCCTTCAAGCTGGTGTCCACCTTCAAGAATTACTACTCATTGGTGCTGGACAGCGACCTGGACCGAGAGACCGTGTCGGCCTATGAGCTGGTGGTGACCGCGCGGGACGGGGGCTCCCCTTCGCTGTGGGCCACGGCCAGCGTGTCCGTGGAGGTGGCCGACGTGAACGACAACGCGCCGGCGTTCGAGCAGCCCGAGTACACGGTGTTCGTGAAGGAGAACAACCCGCCGGGCTGCCACATCTTCACAGTATCTGCACGGGACGCGGACGCGCAGGAGAACGCGCTGGTGTCCTACTCGCTGGTGGAACGGCGGGTGGGCGATCGCGCGCTGTCGAGCTACGTGTCAGTGCACGCGGAGAGCGGCAAGGTGTACGCGCTGCAGCCGCTGGACCACGAGGAGCTGGAGCTGCTGCAGTTCCAGGTGAGCGCGCGCGACGCGGGGGTGCCGCCTCTGGGCAGCAACGTGACGCTGCAGGTGTTCGTGCTGGACGAGAACGACAATGCACCGGCGCTGCTGGCGACTCGAGCTGGCAGTGCGGGAGGCACAGTTAGCGAGCTGTTACCGCGGTCGGTGGGTGCGGGCCACGTGGTGGCGAAGGTGCGTGCAGTGGATGCTGACTCAGGCTACAACGCGTGGCTTTCATATGAACTGCAGCCTGCGGCTGGCGGCTCTCGCAACCTGTTCCGCGTGGGGCTGTACACCGGCGAGATCAGCACAACGCGTGTCCTGGACGAGGCGGACTCGCTGCGCCACCGCCTTCTGGTGCTGGTGAAGGACCACGGTGAGCCGGCGCTGACGGCCACCGCTACCGTGCTGGTGTCGTTAGTAGAGAGCGGACAGGCGCCAAAGGCCTCGTCGCGGGCATTGGTGGGCCCCGCGAGCCCAGAGGCTACGCTGGTGGGTGTCAACGTGTACTTGATCATCGCCATCTGCGTGGTATCTAGTCTGCTGGTGCTCACGCTGTTGTTATACACGGCGCTGCGGTGCTCCGCTATGCCCATTGAGGGCGAGTGCGCTCCCGGCAAGCCCACGCTGGTGTGCTCCAGCGCGGTGGGGAGCTGGTCGCACTCGCAGCAGAGGCGGCACAGGGTGTGCTCTGGGGAGGGCCCACCTAAGACGGACCTCATGGCCTTCAGCCCTAGTCTTCCTCCAGGTCTGAATAAAGAGGAGGAAAGGGAAAGACAGGAGGCAGGGTCAAGTCACCCGGGACAGGTGAGTTTTCTACAGATTTCACCTATCAGGAAGTGTATGTGAAATTATTTAAAATCTAGGTTTTTTTTCCACTGATTTTTTAAGGGAAAGTTTTTATGACTAATGAGTATTTTGAATATTGTTTTCGATAACAAAGTCTGTGAAGTGCTAAATGCTACACATCTTCAATCTTTTAATCATAAGAATAATCAGGCTTCTTTAACAAATAGATGTCCTATTTCTTCTAATATTTGGTTAGAACATACCGAAATAAATAAGATGCAAGAATGACTCTTCCGTAGTCACTTGAGTAGAAATAATTACTACTTCCACTAAAGTACCCATGCCACTTCAACTATGACCTTCAATTATGACCATAATAACTACAGATTATTTAAAATTACTGCTTCTTATCTTTTAGCAGAGTTTTGCCTTGATATTTCCACATTGTTAGATCAATTGGTGTTTTTTTTTTTTTTTTCTAAAAGGAGGAGGTCTTCTTATGATGTCCAGTTGGCAGTACAGTGGCTATTCACAGGTGACCTGTAGCCTTGAACTGCTAGGCTCAGAGGATTCTCCCACTTCAGCCTCCAGAGTAGCTGGGAATGCAGGCATGTACCACTGTGCTTAATCCATTGGCTTTTCTAACTTCAGCCTTGTATCAAGGCTAGAATACTCCATTAGGTATGAAATGATTTACGTATCTTTCTTTTTTTCCTTTCCTTTCCTTTTCTTTCTTTCATTTTTCTTTTTTCTTTTCTATTTTTTTTTTAGACAGTCTCACTCTGTCTCCCAGGCTAGAGTGCAGTGGTCAGATCTCAGCTCACTACAACCTCGGCCTCCCAGCTTCAAGGGACTCTCCTGCCTCAGCCTCCTGAGTAGTTGGGATTACAGGCATGTGCCAATATGCCTGGCTAATTTTTGTATTTTTAGTAAAGGGTTTCACCATGTTGGTCAGGCTGATCTCCAACGCCTGACCTCGTGATCCATGTGCCTTGACCTCCCAAAGTGCCAGGATTACAGGCATGAACCACCAAGCTTGGCCACTTTTCTTCACTCCCTTCCTCCTCCTTTCCCTCCCTCTCTCCCTTCCTTCCTTCCTTCTTTCTTTCCTTTCCTTTTAATCTCTCTCTTTCTTTCTTTCTCAGTATTAAACATTCATCATAAATTTATTTTCTATGAAACAGTCTTTACTTTTGCCTTTATTCCTGTGATAATACTTGTTTTCATATTGTTTGAAGAAGAAAGTTAAGCCTCGCATTCTTACATGCTGCTTTTATGGAAATAATATAACTAAAATTCTTCATGTTCTTGTCAGGCAAAGTGGCTTAGGCCTGTAATCCCAGCTACTAGGGAGGCTGAGGCAGAATTGCTTGAGCCCAAGAGTTGAGGCCTGCCTGGACAACATAGTGAGATCCTATTTCTACAAAAAAATTAAATATTAGCCAGACCTAGTGGTGCATGCCTGCAGTCCCAGTTTCTTGGGAGGCTAAGGTGGGAGGATCGCTTGAATCCAGGGGTTCAGAGCTGCAGTGAGCTATCATCGTGGGACCCCCAAACTGAAAAAACAAACAAAATTGTCCATTCTTGATTTTGTTCCGTGAAAAGGCAAGAGATTTATCAACTATTTCATACTCAAACAAAATGGCCTGATTTATTTTTCCAAAGGAAACTAGGAAGCTTTTCAGATTCATCTAGCAGAGAAAAAATTAAATGTATTAATGTGAGTACCTACTGACAATGATCAATTTCATTCATCTCACATTTTAACTGCTCTTTTGATGCCTTATCTTTAATGTTTTTGAAATTTTCTTTCCACGTGGTATAATCGCATCTGGAGATTTGAGCAAAGATCATTTACTTTTGAGTCATTCGTCATATTTAGTTATTCTTACTACATGTAGAGTGGTGGAATTACTGACCATTTTGAGAATCACATCTAGCTATTTCCCCACTTATAGAGGCATAACATTCAATAATATTGTGCCATTTGGCACAATATTCAAAGAGTCTATGCTGAAGCCCATTCATAGACTTTAGATAGAGAACTTTTGCACCTTAATATTAATTGGCTAAAAACATTCTTTAAGTATTCAAGAGAAGGCAAGAAGATAAAAACATAAAATATTTCAGACTCAAAAGTGGTTAAACCATCAAACCACTTATGAAACTTTGTAAATATAATAAATGTGAAGATGAGATAGCACATACATTACTCATCTCCAAATGAAGTTTTTGGAATAACCCAAGATCTTTTAAAGACTTTGCAATGTTTTCAGTACAGGTTAAAATTTTGTAAATTATTTTTATCACTTTAAATAACCAATGTTTATTTCAGATAATTCAAATTATTTGGACTGATTTTTACAAAGTTGTTTCCTTTGGACTTGTTCTTAATGCCAAGATTGCATTCTATGATATAAAATTATAATTTCACCTTGTTTTCTGGTTTGGTTGTTTAAGTATTAAGCTAAACCTAGATGTTCCTATTGGCTTAGCAATTTGTTTAGGTCGAAGAGTGTGTGAGAACTACATAACACATTTTTTTTTTTCTTTTTTGAGATAGAGTCCTGCTTGGTCGCCGATTTTTTAAAATTAAAGCTCATGACCGGGTGCAGTGGCTCACACCTGTAATCCCAGCACTTTAGGAGGCCAAGGCGGGAGGATCACCTGAGGTCGGGAGTTTGAGACAAGCCTGACCAACATGGATAAACCCTGTCTCTACTAAAAATACAAAATTAGCTGGGCGTGGTGGCACATGCAGTAATTCCAGCTACTCAGGAGGCTGAGGCAGGAGAATTGCTTGAACCTAGGAGGTGGAGGTTTTGGTGAGCCGAGATCACAACATTGCACTCCAGCCTTGGCAACAAGAGAAAAACTCCATCTCCAAAAAAAAAGTTCCTTAGCACCTATAGTACATTCACTACTATTGAAAATGAAAAATAGGAAGAAACTTGTTGGCTTGGTGGTAAAATTTAAATACTTAGCCTGATGGCATCAAAATTCAAATATGTTTTTGATTACTTAAAGTTTTATAGTTGATTTAAGTTATCTTATACTTTTAAAGCCTTTCTTCATTATTCTTTTCTGGTTTTGTAAAGGTGTCATATTTCAGTTGCCTTTATTATTATATGTAAAAGGAATGAATGGCAACAAATTGGTTTAAAGATTTTGACGTATTACTTACGAAGTCTATGTGTACTTGTTCACAATGAGCTGTAGGATCTTATCTGTGTTTTGTTTTCTCTTAAAGCTGATCTTGAATTAGTGACAAAATCATGAAAGGTCTTTTGAGTCCCCCTGGCATCACAGTCACCATTCTGATTTTCTGAAGAAAAGCATATCCTAACTACTAAATGATCTTTAGGAAAAGATTTAGAGAAAAAGCAAAAGACTGATATCAACTTCATGTTCTCTTGACTTTAGTCAATGAGATTAGGCTCCAAAACACTTTTAAGAGATCTTTCTCATATTCGTGCTCCATTCTTACTTTGGGATAGTGTGAAATTTAGAGGCTTCAACTAAACATTTCAGATGAAAGTGTGTTACATTTGCTAGAGTAGAACTTTCCAGAATCTATTCCTGAGCTTTGTTTTAGCATGTAATGGAAATGAGAGCAGTTATGTGAAAAGTTATCACATTCAAGCATCAAGGAACCAAAAAACAATAACACTCTTCATATTTATGATGATTCTTTCATCAGATTTATGAATAAGACAATTTATATAAGTGAAATATTCTTTGGTAATAGATATATTTTAGTTTCTTATTCTTTGTTAAATACGAAATTCTTAACTTTTTCTAAAATGTTATGATGGAGTGCTCGTGAAGGTTAAAAATTACTGAAACTGTAATTTGTCAGCTAGATAAGAGCAGGGGTGATGTATATTATTCTGTATATTATTTTCCATGGATAGTTGAAATGTAGCTTCTAGCATACTGCATTTGAAAGATTTATAATACTTTGAAGCAGGAAATATTTTTAAATTACAGTGTAATAAAATTATTGATGTTTTGTTACTAATATCATGTATATTCACTGAATCTCCATTTATAAGTTATCCATGAAAAATATCCCAAAGTTGAAACAGTAGAATTTAGAGTGACCCAGGAGGTGGCTAAACCAAAAAGAACCTCAGAATCTTTCTTGTACTTACATAATCAGTCACAGGATGTCGCTCTACACTCAAAAGGTGAAACAGGAAAATATTATCTCCGCACCCACATTCCAACCATTCACGGAATAGGATCGACTCCATATTTACCATAATGCTGGAAAAAATTTATTGAATATGTACTTACAGAAAAGGGTGACTGCTCATAGAATACCTCAGGCGAGCGATCCTTTAAAACTGATTTTCCCAACTCAGAGGCCCTCATTTTCTGCAATGGTGATTATCTGGCCAAGAGGCCCGGGATCCCAGCCTCTGCTGTTCTCGCTTTTGCTCCTCGCAGCCTGGGAGGTGGGGAGCGGTCAGCTCCACTACACCGTACCAGAGGAGGCCAAACACGGCACTTTCGTGGGCCGCATCGCGCAGGACCTAGGGCTGGAGCTGGCGGAGCTGGTGCCGCGCCTGTTCCGGGTGGCGTCCAAAACACACGGGGACCTTCTGGAGGTAAATCTGCAGAATGGCATTTTGTTTGTGAATTCTCGGATTGACCGCGAGAAGCTGTGCGGGCGGAGCGCGGAGTGCAGCATCCATCTGGAGGTGATCGTGGACAGGCCGCTGCAGGTTTTCCATGTGGATGTGGAGGTGAAGGACATTAACGACAATCCGCCGGTGTTTAGAGAGAGGGAACAAAAGGTACCTGTTTCTGAATCTGCGCCTCTGGACTCTCATTTTCCTCTAGAGGGCGCTTCTGATGCGGATATCGGCGTAAACTCTCTTTTGACCTATACGTTAAGTCTAAACGAGCATTTTGAGCTTAAAATAAAAACAAAAAAAGATAAAAGTATACTGCCTGAATTAGTTCTTCGCAAGTTATTGGACAGAGAGCAAACGCCAAAGCTCGATTTATTGCTGATGGTAATCGATGGCGGTAAACCACAGCTAACAGGGTCTGTTCAGATTCAAGTAACCGTCCTGGATGTGAATGACAACGGTCCGGCGTTTGATAAGCCCAGCTACAAAGTAGTTTTGTCTGAAAATGTCCAAAACGACACGAAAGTGATCCAACTAAACGCTTCCGATCCAGACGAAGGACTGAATGCAGAAATTTCCTATGGGATCAAAATGATTTTGCCAGTGAGTGAGAAATGTGTGTTTTCAATAAATCCAGACACAGGTGAAATTAAAATTTATGGTGAACTGGATTTTGAAGAGAATAATGCCTATGAAATTCAGGTTAACGCAATTGATAAAGGGATTCCTTCCATGGCAGGTCACAGCATGGTCCTGGTGGAAGTTCTGGACGTGAATGACAATGTCCCTGAAGTAGTGGTTACTTCCCTGTCGCTCCCTGTGCAAGAGGATGCTCAGGTGGGTACTGTCATCGCCCTGATCAGCGTGTCGGATCGTGACTCTGGAGCCAATGGACAGGTCATCTGCTCACTGACACCTCATGTCCCCTTCAAGTTGGTGTCCACCTACAAGAATTATTACTCATTGGTGCTGGACAGCGCCCTGGATCGTGAGACGGTGTCTGCCTATGAGCTGGTGGTGACTGCGAGGGACGGGGGCTCCCCTTCGCTGTGGGCCACGGCCAGCGTGTCCGTGGAGGTGGCCGACGTGAACGATAACGCGCCGACGTTCGCGCAGCCCGAGTATACGGTGTTTGTGAAGGAGAACAACCCGCCGGGCTGCCACATCTTCACTGTGTCGGCGCAGGACGCGGACGCGCAGGAGAACGCGCTGGTGTCCTACTCGCTGGTGGAGCGGCGGGTGGGCGATCGCGCGCTGTCGAGCTACGTGTCGGTGCACGCGGAGAGCGGCAAGGTGTACGCGCTGCAGTCGCTGGACCACGAGGAGCTGGAGCTGCTGCAGTTCCAGGTGAGCGCTCGTGACGCGGGCATGCGACCTCTGGGCAGCAACGTGACACTGCAGGTGTTCGTGCTGGACGAGAACGACAACGCGCCAGCCCTGCTGGCAACTGGGGCTGGCATCGCGGGAGGTGCAGTGAGCGAGCTTGTACCGCGGTCTGTGGGTGCAGGCCACGTGGTGGCGAAGGTGCGCGCGGTGGACGCTGACTCCGGCTATAACGCTTGGCTGTCCTACGAGTTGCAACCTGCGGCGGTTGGCGCGCTCATCCCGTTCCGCGTTGGGCTGTACACGGGCGAAATCAGCACGACACGCATCCTGGACGAGGCGGACGCTCCGCGCCACCGCCTGCTGGTGCTGGTGAAGGACCATGGCGAGCCCGCGCTGACGACCACGGCCACTGTGCTAGTGTCGCTGGTGGAGAACGGCCAGTCTCCAAAAGCGTCGTTGCGAGCCTCGGTGGGCGCTGTAGGTCCCGAAATGGCGCTGGTGGATGTCAACGTGTACCTGATCATCGCCATCTGTGCGGTGTCCAGCCTGTTGGTGCTCACGCTGCTGCTGTCCACGGCGCTGCGGTGCTCTGCGCCTCCTACTGTGAGCGGGTGCGCCTCGGGCAAGCCCACACAGGTTTGCTCCAGCGCCGCGGGGAGTTGGTCTTACTCGCAGCAGAGGAGGCAGAAGGTGTGCTCTGGAGAGGGCGCGCCCAAGACAGACCTCATGGCCTTCAGTCCAAGCCTTCAGCTGTCTCGAGAAGATTGTTTAAGTCCTCCCAGTGAAGTAAGTTATATTATTTAGATATATTTGTTTCCCTGAAGAACTTCCGTTTAGGTTATTACTACATTCTCTTATTTTTCTTACGATTTTATCCTTTAAACTATGGCATGTCTCATCTTTTGTGGTCATTCTTACTCATTTTGAACTTTTATGTATTTGTGTAATATTAATGAAGGAAATATGTAGATATAATGGAGGCCATGGAGAACCACACTTAAAAGTTTTCTTTTTCTATAATCCTTTCTATTATATGACTGGTTAACCTTGAAAAATAATAGTATATTAGATTTAAAACTGGCCAGATGTTTGATAACTTTAAAATTTATTTTAATTTGTTCATAAGTTCAAGATTACAGATAAGTTGCAAGAATGGTAGAAAGAGTTACCAGATACCATTAATGGATTCTTTGACTCTTCCTCATGTGCTTTGGCTTTTAAAATAGCCTTCTTGATCACCATTCTAATTTCAGTATAATCTAGATATTTTCACATTATATTCCAGGTATTAGCACAAAAATATAAATAATATGTGTGATATAAGATGAATGATTTTCTTCACTGCTCACGCAACACTTTCTTTATTTCAAGTGGGAATAGCTACTGTACTACTCTTATTTACATGAAATATAATAAAATCATTTCTCAATTTAAAAATATTTGACCATCTGTACCATACAGTACAGTTGGTACCAACCATGGCTCAAAACCAGTTTTGGATGATCCCAGACGTATCATGGTATACCACTGTACTGTGCCTATTATTAAGTGAATCTTCTTATGTGCATTTTACATATTTTAACTTTCTATTTCTACAAAAATATCCAGAGGCTTCTCTTTAACCAGGAAATAAAGTCTTACATACCCCAACCTGGTTGTAAAGGCATTAAAACTTCCAGGCTTATATCTGCTTTCTTAGATATCTTTATTTTAGGATCTGGAATATAGTACATGTTCAATCACTTTTTAAAAAAAAATATGTCATGTTGCACAAGCTGGACTTGAACTTCTGGGCTCAAGTGATCCTCCCGCTTCAGCCTTCCAAGTAGCTGGAACTACAGGCAGGCTCCACCTCTCTCAGCTTTAATCAATAATTTTAAATAAATACATGGTATTGAAATGTATCACCTGGGCAATCCCCTCTATCTTAGAAATGGGAGTAAGCCCTAGAAATCACATAATGTTTTATTGAAGAGTGTCTTGAAAGATAGATAACGTTTTACCAAGAAAGTATTAGAGATGAAGAGATAAGCATGAACAACTGCACAGTTTACGGTGGTAAATGAAGGCTGGTACTTGAGGGATTAGAGCAGGGGAGATTCTGAAGGCAGGAAAACTATTTCTTTTATAATAAATTAGGTAGCAAGTAATGGAGACTTAAATTGTGGTAGTAGAAATGAATTGAAAAAGACATATACAAGAGGCACTGGCAAAGTAGAAGCAGCCGGATAATGACAAACTCAATACAAATGATAAGAGATAAACAAAAATGGAAGGTGACTCTCACTTTTTTAGTTTGTTCAGCTGAGAAGATGAGATTGCCATTAACCAAGTTGCAGGACAGAGCTGGATAAACAGTTTGTGTGTATTTGAGCAGGTAGGGAATGGAGATGAACATTTAAGAAAATGTTACTTTGAGGTCCTAGGAGAATACCATTGTGATTGGAAATATGGGTCTAGATCTCAGAAGAGATTATTGACATACATTTTGGGAATACTCATTTAGGGAAAAAATAAATTCATGGAAGAATAAAATTGCCAAGGCAGACACTGAAAAACGAAAAGCAACATGTTCAGGTACTTAGGCGGGTAAGTGTGTCACTTCCTATGGCTGCTATAACAAATGACCACAAACTGGGTACTACAAAACAACAACAAAATTATTCTCTCACAGACCAGAAGTCCAAGTCAAGGTGTGGTCAGGGTTATACTCTCTTTGGAGGACCCAGGGAAGAAACTGGTTTTTGTTTCTTCCAGCCAGTTTCTGATGGCTGCTGGTGTTCCTTGGCTTGTGGCTGCACCACTGCAATCTCAGCCTCCTCAGCCTTCATGATCACATCGCCCCCTCCTCTCCATGTCTCTCTCTATGTCCTGGTTTTACAAAGGTACATGTGACTGTATTTAGGACCCACCTGGATAATTCAGGATAAACTCCTTTCAAGATCCTCAACTTAATCACATCATTCATCATATAAAGTAAAATCCGCAGGTTCCAGGGATTAAGATGTGGGCATAACTTTTTGAGAACCGACATTCAACCTATTATAGTAGGCTTAAAATCATAGGAGGAAAGACAACAGGAATCTGAAATAAAACTCAAAGTGCATTATATAAAGTATATGTTAGAAGTTAAGGGTGAAGGGAAAAGATAAACAGAAAGAGTCAATGGGTTTTCTCCCCAGAAGTAGAATGTTAAAAAAATTTTTTTGTGTGTACATATTTTAGTTAAAGATGTTTGAACATCTTCATAGTGTGAGGGAAAGAAACAAGTAAAAAATAAGATACTAAAAATAAGACAGGCAGCAGGAGAATTTAGATGAAAACTATGAAAGAGAGAATAGAAAATAATGTTTAAGAGCATACGGTTGACCTTAAAAGTGGGAACAGTTTTTCCTTAGAACTAGTAGAGAATGAAAACAAATACTATAAGGAAAAATGATGACATAAGAAGAGAGCTATTGAATTTCTGTTTGTTGACATCTCTCAATGTATGAATCATCTGAAAGTGAACTGATGGAAATGAGGTTGAGAACTTTGGAGGGATGAGAATATGGAAGAAACTCTTTAAGCAAGAGGGAGGAATTAATTATGAATTCACTTGAGAGCCTAACTGAGGTAAAGGTGAGAGTAAACTTGAAGACAATATAATCATTATGGCTAAGTGATTAATTTATATTGAACAACTTAATAGGAAGAATAGAGAAAATGGATTGTTAGGGTAACTGTGTTGGAGACTAAAAAGAATGTTAGAGGAGTAATATAAATAGGTGAATGATTCTAGGGTGTCTGGAAGGGCATATTTTAAATGGTTGACTATGTAGTCTAATTATGTGAAGAGGTAAATAAAGAAATGTAGGGCCTGACAGAAAGAATTAGAAAAAGTCAAGGAACAATATCGATTCTAAGAGGAATACTATGTTAGTAAAAGTAATGGAGCAGGAGAGGATGATGAGGGCAAGTGAATACCAAATACTCTGCCTAAATTTTCAGAGGAAAGCAGAGTTATGGAAATAAAACCAACAGTCATTTCCTATAGAGTTGTGCACAGAACAGGCAAGATAAATATTGGAGCTATGATATATTTTTCGTTACACTATTTGGCCTGGGACTTTGTGGCTTGATAGAGATAGTTATAACAATATGTAAAAGTAAGATCCTCTTCCTCTCTTCTTTGCTAAAAATATGCTAACATTTTTGTCTAACTTGTTTCTTGGAAAATTAGAGGCAATTTAGATGATGGTAAGGTTTTACTCAGTGATGATGAAATAAGATGGAGAGAGAAAATGGGAAGTTTAACCAACTGGTAGTAATTTAAATTCTATTAAATAAATAGGATACTAGTTCCAGGCATATTTTATAAAAACAGAATCCAAAGCTTTAAAGCATTCTTGTATCTAAATGGTCTAAATTATTGTGTTTATGCACATACACACACTCACATATGAAATCACACACATATTTACTGAACACTTTCTTTTGAATATAAATATTTTATCCACATCTCGAGTCACATTGAGGGATATTTACAAATACAGTGTATTTATTTAAAAGCTGATATATCACTTACCAATGCTTTTTACCTTCACCCATGTTATTCTTATGTGATTATTACCTTTCTTTTTGCAATCAATGGCTGTTGCATGAGGAGGTCTTGAAAAACATCACAGGAAGAGGACAGTCCCACAAAAAGCTACGTGACTATGCAAGACTAGAGATCAATTGTTCCAAAACAAATGTCAAATATTCTCCGTCTTTTAAAATTCTGCATGGAAGTCTTATACATGGAAAAATAAATTTGTGGGAAAAATAAATTTGTGGCAAGATAAAGTTCATCGACCAATTGTCAGCTAATATCCAATACTGAGCAGAATGGAGTGATTTACTGTTTCTGGGAAGGTAAGCACTTAATCATCAATGATGTAGTTGCAGTGAAAATGTCAGGAAATGCAATGGAAAAAATCCCACATCACTGGAAAACATGTAGATTGAGTCATTTTTACACTTACACATTCATGCGCATGGTGTCGCTCTTCACTGAGAACGTTTCCGCGAAGAGCCGCCGTTTCTTCCTTCTTGCAGAAAATTTACCAGAAAGCGGAATACCTCTAGCAAATCCTCTCGCACTGGAAAGCCACAAAAATTGGGCCTTGAGAGGCAGTTTGAGTTAAGGTATTATATATTGCAGATATTTCTGAGTTTTTTTTTGTAGTGTACCATGCTGTTTTCCTGGCAAGGAGGCCCAAGACCGCTGCAGCTACTGCTCTGGCTTCTGCTTCTCGCAGCCTGGGAGACCGGTAGTGGCCAGCTTCACTACTCCGTCCTCGAGGAAGCAAAACACGGCACCTTCGTGGGCCGCATCGCCCAGGACCTGGGGCTGGAGCTGGCGGAGCTGGTGCCGCGCCTGTTCCGGGTGACGTCCAAAGCACACGGGGACCTTCTGGAGGTAAATCTGCAGAATGGCATTTTGTTTGTGAATTCTCGGATCGACCGCGAGGAGCTGTGCGGGCGGAGCGCGGAGTGCAGCATCCACCTGGAGGTGATCGTGGACAGGCCGCTGCAGGTTTTCCATGTGGACGTGGAGGTGAAGGACATTAACGACAACCCGCCCATGTTCCCTGAAAGCAAGAAACGAATAATCATTGCAGAATCTAGACCTTCGGCAACTCGATTTCCGCTAGATGGCGCATCCGATGCAGATATTGGTGTAAACTCGGCATTGACCTACCGACTGGATCCCAACGATTATTTCGCTTTGGACACACAAAATAGTCGTGAGCAAATGTCTTCATTATCACTTGTACTGAGGAAAACATTGGACAGAGAGGAAATTCAGGAACATAGTTTATTACTGACAGCCAGTGATGGAGGTAAACCCGAGCTGACTGGCACAGTTCAGCTGCTCATCACAATTCTGGACGTGAATGACAATGCCCCGGAATTTTACCAATCCGTTTATAAAGTGACGGTGTTGGAGAACGCATTCAATAGAACATTAGTGATTAAGCTAAATGCCACAGATCCTGATGAAGGTACAAATGGAGATATAGTCTACTCATTTAGAAGGCCTGTATCGCCTGCAGTGCTATATGCATTTACCATAAATACCAACAATGGAGAAATTAGGACAAAAGGGAAACTAGATTTCGAAGAAAAGAAATTGTATGAAATATCCGTGGAGGCAGTTGACAAAGGAAATATTCCGATGGCGGGTCATTGTACCCTTTTGGTGGAAGTACTAGATGTAAATGATAACGCCCCAGAGGTTACCATCACTTCTTTGTCACTCCCCATCAGAGAAGACACGTCACCTAGCGCCATCATTGCCCTGATCAGTGTGTCCGATCGTGACTCTGGCTCAAACGGACAGGTCACCTGCACCCTGACGCCGCACGTCCCTTTCAAGCTGGTGTCCACCTACAAGAATTACTACTCGTTGGTGCTGGACAGCGCCCTGGACCGCGAGACCGTGGCGGCCTATGAGCTGGTGGTGACCGCGCGGGACGGGGGCTCCCCCTCGCTGTGGGCCACGGCCAACGTGTCCGTGGAGGTGGCCGACGTGAACGACAACGTGCCGACGTTCGTGCAGCCCGAGTACACGGTGTTCGTGAAGGAGAACAACCCGCCGGGCTACCACATCTTCACGGTGTCTGCGCAGGACGCGGACGCGCGGGAGAACGCGCTGGTGTCCTACTCGCTGGTGGAGCGGCGGGTGGGCGATCGCGCGCTGTCGAGCTACGTGTCGGTGCACGCGGAGAGCGGCAAGGTGTACGCGCTGCAGCCGCTGGACCACGAGGAGCTCGAGCTGCTGCAGTTCCAGGTGAGCGCGCGCGACGCGGGCGTGCCGCCTCTGAGCAGCAACGTGACGCTGCAGGTGTTCGTGCTGGACGAGAACGATAACGCGCCGGCGCTGCTGACTCCCCGAGCTGGCAGCGCTGGAAGCACAGTGAGCGAGCTGGTGCCGCGGTCGGCGGGGGCGGGTCATGTGGTGGCGAAGGTGCGCGCGGTGGACGCCGACTCCGGCTACAACGCTTGGCTTTCATACGAATTGCAGCCGGCGGCGGTCGGCGCGCGCATCCCGTTCCGCGTGGGGCTGTACACGGGCGAGATCAGCACAACGCGCACTCTGGACGAAATAGACGCGCCACGCCACCGCCTTCTGGTGCTGGTGAAGGACCATGGTGAGCCCGCGCTGACAGCCACAGCCACGGTGCTGGTGTCGCTGCTGGAGAGCGGCCAAGCGCCAAAGGCGTTGTCGAGGGCGTTAGCAGGCGCTGTGGGTCCAGAAGCGGCGCTGGTGGATGTCAACGTGTACTTGATCATCGCCATCTGCGCGGTGTCCAGCCTATTGGTGCTCACGCTGTTGCTGTATACTGCGCTGAGGTGCTCGGCGCCGCCCACCGAGGGCTCGTGCGCGCCGGTCAAGTCCACTCTGGTGTGTTCCAGCGCGACAGGGAGTTGGTCGTACTCGCAGCAGAGGCGACAGATGGTGTGCTCTGAGGAGGGCCCACCCAAGACGGACCTTATGGCCTTCAGTCCCAGCCTTCCTCCTTGTCTTGGTCCTGCAGGAGGAACAGGCCAGACGGAGGAGAACTCAGAATGTTTGAAAGAGGTAAGCTTATATTTTTAAAAATTGTCTTAGTAACGCTTTAGCCTTCCTTGCAGTTGTTTAAGTCGTCTTCCCTGCCAATTTCAAATTATTCTTTAGTTTAATTTTAATTTCGCCAGTGTTACTGAATTTAACAATTCTGCTATGGACATTATGTGTTGAATTATTCTTAACTCAGAAACCGTAATGAAATGTGCAAAACAAGAATATTTTGTTTTTGTTGTCTTCTTAATATTTCTAAGTATTTATTGTGCAATTGAGCATTTACGAAAAATTTCTGACGTTGTGAGAACCTAAACATTAGGAAACGTTTGTTTTAACGAGGGTAATTATAATCTTAAATTTAAAAATTTTAATTTAATGTATCTTGTCCAAGGCCCACTGTAACCACTATCTGATTACCACCTATGTTCACTCAAGGCCTTAGGGCTCTATGAATAACAGGTGGTGATAGCAGCCAAGCTTGCATCCTTCCCTTTAGGGAAAGGTCCAGAGATGCCACCTGGGAGCCAGGGATTGGCGTCAAAATCCTTAGAAATTTGCCTGATATTCTATTTGACTGTGGCTAAGCTGGCACTCGAACCACAAGATAAATTCCTTCCCATTCTTCTCTCCCCTTTCCACAGGCAGAGGTGTCTCTCCCCATGGCCAATACTACCATTGGGCCACAAGGATTCTGCCTGGCCACTACTGACATTCACTTAAAGCTTAAGGGCTGTTCAGTTATCTTGTTGTGAATGCTGCCAGGCCTGGGACTCACTCTTCAGGGAAGTGGGCACCCCTCTGTCCTGGGGAAGATCCAATTATGCTGTCCAAGAGCCAAAGCCTGGATGTGGGGACCCCAAGAGCATGCTTGTTGCTCTACTCCACTGCGGCCAAACTGGTACCAAAGGTACAAGACAAAGTCCCCTTTACGTTTTCCTCTGTTTTTGTCAAACAGAAGGATTCATTCACTGTAGCCACCACAGCTAGGCATGTGCTGGATCACACCTAAAGTCAGTGCATCTCAGAGCCTATGGCCCACAGCATGCTACCTGGGTATCACGGCTGGTTATTTGGGGCATAAAGGCCCTTTAGTCAGCAGGTGATCCATCTTGCCAAGACTGGGTCCTTCCCACCAAGGCAATGGCTTTTCCTTTGGTCTAGGTTGTGTCTAGAAATGTCATCCATGAGCTAGGGCCTGGAATGGGAGCCTCATGACTCTGCCCAGTGCCCTATCCTACTGTGGCTGAGCTGGTATCCAAGATGCAAGACAAAGTCCTCTTCATTCTTCGCTGTCCTCTCCTTAAGCAGAAGGAAGGAGTCACTTTTGTTGCTGCAAGCTTCACTGACTGGGATTAGGGGATGGGTGGTACAGGCACTCCCTTAGCTGCCCTGGCTGATGACTTCCTAGGTCATGTGCCACTCTAGCCCTCTGGTGCTCAGCCCAGCCCAGCACTAGGAGTTGCCTAGGAATTGGAATCCTTATGTTCTAGACTGCCTTTCAGGTTTACCTAGAACCTCAGAGCACTTAAGCCCATAGTGGTGAGGCTTGCTGAGAAACTCAAGTTCTGACTGCTGGGATGAGTTATTTTCTTCTGGTTAGGTCTATTCCAAAAGCTCCCTTTATGCACGGCTGCTGGCTGAGTCCAGCATGGTGTTGTTTCCTGCGGACAGCACGGAGTTTAATGTCAAGTTCCCCAGTTGCTGTGCTTTACCTCCCCCAAGTACACAGACTATCTGTTGTTCAGCTGCTGTTGGGGGTATGGGAGGGGTGGTGGTGGTGATTCCAGACTATCTCTCCAACCCTTTTTAATGCCTCTTTTAGTGATATGTTGTTAAATCCAGGTATTATGATTGCTCACCTGATGTTTAGTTCTTGTAATGGTACTTTTCTGTGTGCAGATAGTTGTTACAATTTGATGTTCATGCAGGGGGAAAATGGTGTAGGCTTCTATTCTACCGTCCTGCTCCACCCCAATAGTCTGATGTGCAGAAGCTCTTTAGTTTAATTAGGTGCCATTTGCCAATTTTTGTTTTTGCTGCAAGTGCTTTTGGCATCTTTGTCACGAAATCTTTGCCAGGGCTATACTCAGAATGATGTTTTCTAGGTTTTATTCTATGGTTTTTATAGTTTTAGGTTTTACATTTAACTCTTTAATCCATCTCAAGTTGATTTTTGTACATGCTGAAAGGAAGGAGTCCAGTTTCAATCTTCTGCATATGCCTAGCTAGTTATCCCAGCAATATTTATTGAGTAGGAAGTACTTTCTCCATTGCTTTTGTTCACTTTTTTGAAGATCAGATGATTGTAGGTGTGCTGCTTTATTTCTGGGTTCTCTAACCTATTCCATTGGTCTATGTGTCTGTTTTTGTACTAGTACCATGCTGTTTTGATTACTATAGCCTTGTAGTATAGTCTGAAGTTGGGTAGTGTGATGTTCTTTTTGTTTTTTGTTTTGCTTAGAATTGCTTTGGCTATTTGAGCTCTTTTTTAGGTTTCATATGAATTTTAGGATAGCTTGTTTTTCTAATTCTATGAAAAATAATGTTGGCAGTTTTATAGGAACATCTTTGAATCTGTGGATTGCTTTGGACTCCATGGTTATTTTAACAATGTTGTTTCTTCCTACCCAGGAGCATGAAATGTATTTTTATCATCTCTGATTTCTTTCAGCAGTGTTTTATAATTCTTTTTGTAGAGCTCTTTCATCTCCCTGATTAGCTGTATTTCTAGATATTTTATTTTTGTGTGTCTATTGTAAGTGGGATTGTGTGCTTGATTTTGGCCCTCAGCTTGGATGTTGTTGGTGTATAGAAGTGCTGATTTTTGTACATCGATTTTGTATGTTGAAACTTTGCTGGAGGTTTTATAAGATTTAGGAGCTTTTTGGCAGAGAATATAGGGTTTTCTCGGTATAAAATTATATTGTCTGCTAAGAGAGACAGGTTGACTTCCTCTCTTCCTATTTGGATGCCTTTTATTTCTCTCTGTTGCCTGATTTCTCTGGCTAGGACTGTTGAACAGGAGTGGTGAGAGTGGGCATCCTTGTCTTATTCCAAGTCTCAAGGGGAATGCTTTCGATAGTATCAATCCTTATAAACTTATTGAGGATTGTTTTAGATAATGTTCCATGTGTAATTGAGACGAATGTGTATTATGCTGCTGTTGGCTGAATGTTTTGTAGACATTGCAATGATATGAATGTTTGTATCCCCTGGATTCATATATTGAAACCTAATTCTCATGATGATGGCATGAGAAGGTGAGACATTTCAAAGGTAATTAAGTAATGAGGGCAGAGCCCTCATGAATTGGATTGGTGTCCTTATAAAACAGGCCCCACAGAGGTGCCTTGCCTCTTTCACCATGTGAGGACACAGCAAGAATGTGACATCCATGAACCAGAAAGTGGCCTATTAGCAGACACTAAATCTGTTGGTGCCTGGATCATGAACTTCCAAGAGCCTCTAGAACTGTGAAAAATAAATCTTTCTTGTTTATTAACTATACAGCATATGATATTTTGTTATAATGCCCTGAACAGACTAAGACAGATATTCTTCAGGTTAGCTGATTTTAGTGTTGTTTATATCTTTTATTTCCTAGTGGTCTTCTCCCTAGTTGTTATCTAGTATTGGAAGTGGAGTATTAAAGTCTCCAATTATAACTATTGAATTGTCTACTCTTCCCTTAATTTCTGCCAGTTTTTGCTTCATGCATTTGGGGCTCTATTATTAGGTGCAAATCTCATTTTAGTTGCTGTATCTTCCTAATTGGCCCTTTTGTTATTATAAAATGTCCTTCTTGATTTCTAGTAACATTTTTTTTGTCTTGTAGTTTGTTCTGTCTAGTATTAGTGTAGTCACTCTAGCTATCTTGTGGTTGCTGTTTGCACAATATATGTTTTCCCATTATTTTACTTTCAATCGGTTAGTATCTTCGAATCCAAAAGTGTCTCCTGCAGACATCACATAGCTGGATCTTGTTTTCTTAAAAATTAGAGTCTGACAATTCTGCCTTTTGATTGGGTTGTTTAATCCATTCACATGATGTTGATATATTTGGATTTATGTTTGTCATTCTACTACTTTTTAAATATCTTTTTTTTTTTTGTGACGGAGTTTAGCTCTTGTTACCCAGGCTGGAGTGCAATGGCGCGATCCCGGCTCACTGCAACCTCCGCCTCCTGGGTTCAGGCAATTCTCCTGCCTCAGCCTTCTGAGTAGCTGGGATTACAGGCACGTGCCACCATGTCCAGCTAATTTTTTGTATTTTTGGTAGAGACGGGGTTTCACCATGTTGACCAGGATGGTCTCGATCTCTTGACCTCGTGATCCACCTGCCTTGGCCTCCCAAAGTGCTGGGATTACAGGCTTGAGCCACCACTCCCGGCCTAAATATATCTTAATTCTCTTTTGTTCCTATACTTCTAATTTACTGACTTCTATTTATTAAGTGAGTATTTTAGGATGTAACATGTTGTTTTAAAAACAAATTTTAAACTATATCTTTTGAGTTATTTTCACAGTAGTTTCTCTAGAGTTTACCATATACATGTTCACTTATTGATATCAGCTTCAGATTATATTAACTGAATTCTAGTGAAATATAAAAATGTTACTTCTAGACGGCTTTATTCCTCTTCCACCTTTTATATTATTGTTACACATACTACATCTTTTGGTGGACTGAATTGTGGGCCTCAAAAATATGTGTCCACATACTAACCTTTGAAACCTGTGACCTCATTTGGAATTCAGTTTTTGAAGGCATAATTACATTAAGGATTTGGGGGTGACGTTATTTTGAATTTTTCAGGTGGGGCTAATTACAATGAAAAGTTTTGTTTTGTTTTTTAAATAAGAGATAGAAGATGAGAAAACAGACACAGAGAAAAAGTTGTGTGAAGTTGGAGGCAGAGATCGGAGTAATGTCAACAGCCACCAAAACCTGGAAAAGGCAAGAAACAGATTATCCCTAGAGCCTCTAAAGGGAGTGCAGCCCTGCCAACATCTTGAGTTTTGACTTCTCCTCTCCA